ATAAATAAATAAATAAATTTTTAAAAAGGAATCAACTAATAAGGCTGGGGAGATGGCTCAGTGAAATAAGTGCTTCCCTGGCAAGCGCAAGGGCCTGAGTTCAATCCCTGGTTCTGCCCCCGCAAAAAAAAAAATTAATAATAAATAGAGAAATCAGTAGGTGTTTAAGTAGTTAAGATGTTTCTTAAAATTGAAAGTAGAAAGCTATTTGAAAGCTTATTAAAAGAGAAAATAAGGTGCACATCCTCTAAACCATAATGGGGAAAGCTCAGAAAAGCAGGACAAAGTATGAAATGGGAACGAGAAACAAGGAGAAGCCTAAAAGCGAACAAGTGGAGCATACGCAGCAGCTTTAGATGTAATTGAATAACTGAGCCTTACTGTCCAATCTGAGGATCAGAACTTATTGCAGATATTTTGGATTTTGGAACTGGATATATTTAGGAACAATCTTTTTTAAAATATGAAATCTGGGAGTATAGCTCAGTAGTAGTGTTTGTGTGGCATATACAACCTCATGTATGATTCTTAGCACTGCCAAAGAAAGAGAGCAAGCTACTCCTATCCCTGATAGTCCCCAGTTAAATTTTAAGAAGTGAAATCGTGTGGGGGGGGATGGATTGCTGAATGAAGACCCCAATTTCATCTTATCTCTGATATTTACTTCTAAGGTTTTAGCTAACTCTCTTAACCTGAGCTTTTGTCAGGATGAAACTAAAACCACATACTACGTGGGGAAATTACGAATAAACTGACGTTAAATTGAAGGTGTTGCTCAGTGGTAGAGTGCTTGTCTCAAATGTAGAGGCATCGGGTTCAGTCCCCAGCACCACAAAAATAAATAATAAAGTTGTATGAAAAACTAAGTGACTGTTACTTTGCTGCTGTTGAGCTAAGCTGAAAGACCCTATGGGCAGGGCATTATAATAGTTTATAATAGTTTAGCTATATGGATTATAATAGTTTAGCTTCTAGGATTTAATAGCACTTATATAACTTTAATTATTATGTGCATTCCGTAGTCAAATAATCTTTTAAAGATGTGATGTGGAAACTATAATATCAGCAATGCAAGGAGACATGTAAATTCAGTTCATTTAAGATTTAAAGATAAAGATTATGCCAACATTAATGCTTTGCTTTGTTTGTTTGTAATAAAGAGAAGAGAACTGATAACAATGGCAGAGTGTATTTTGTCAATCACAACACTCGAATTACACAGTGGGAAGACCCCAGAAGTCAAGGGTAAGAACTTTTAGTTGTAGTGTATATATAACCTCCTGAAGATTGTTTTATCTCTTTCTGACTCAGTTACATACTTTCCCCCAAAAGTCCTTAAATAGTAATCACCTACATACTTTAGGAGACAAATCATTACTTGTCGTGAAGTTAAAGACTTTAAGAGGAAGGAAAAAGAAAAAAACGCTCATTGGTATATGAGATACTTAAATCTACCTACTCATTTATATGTACTTATTGTTAGTAAATACAAGTTAGTAATTCTAAAGCAGGATTTCTGCTGAAATCACTGGATAGAATTGGAAATGTGACTTAGAGGAAATATTACATGTTCAGTTTCACCAACTTTTATCTAAATTTATTATTTCCTTCTGTTGTGATATAGGTTATAACCAAGTAAAATTAGTATTACTGAAATCTTTGCCACCAGTAGAACTTGCAGGGTTTTTTTGTTTTGCTTTGTTTTTTTGGTACTGGGGATTAAACTCAGGACACTGCGCTTGCCAGGCAGGCGCTTATTCTAGTGAGCTCTCCCCCTGAGCCTGAAATTGTAGTTTTAAAAGTAACCAGTGATTGATGCAGATGTTGCAAAATACTGTTTATGCACAGAATAAGAACTTGCAAGTTTAAAAAATACACTTGCATGGGGCCAGGGAGTTGGCTCAGTAGAATAAGCACTTGCCTTGCAAGCACAAGGGCCTGAGTTCAATCCCTGGTTCCACAAAAAACTAACAACAACAAAAAAAATACACTTGCAAGTTATCAGTGCATTTGATAGAGATACCTTAATGCATGTTTGTCTTTTCAGTATTTTGATAATTATGTACATACAGTTGCTTATCTTAGTAGCGTATAATAGTCTATGCATTAAATTGCTATGACCAGTTTAACAAAGTACACCACAAACAGAGTAGCTTAAACAACAGAAGTTATCTTACAGTTGTAGAGGCCAGAAGTCCAAGACCAGCGTCAGCAAGGCCATATTTTCCCTGAAAGCACTGGGAAATCTCTTCCAGACCTCTCTCCTAATTTCTTGTAGTTCACATGGTTTTCTTCTTGTGTAGATGTTTCTGTGTCCAAATTTCCTCTTGCTATAAGAATACCAGTTCTGCAGAATTAATGACCCATTATACTCCAGTATAACTTCATATTAAACAGTGCATTTGCACTGATCCTATTGCCAAATAAGGTCACATTCTGAGATATTGATGACCAGGACTTAAACATAAGCATTTGGAGGGAAGACATGTTTAATTCATAGAAGACTATAATATATACATTTATCATATTGCCAGATAGTTCCATTTTATGAGGAATTGGCACGGTCAATTTAGGTATTAACCAAAAGTCTTAAATTGTAGACCCCCAAAACCACTCTTGACTTTAGACTAACTGCCTACAACTTCTGCTACAATCATTTTCAGGTATAAATTCCTTGGAAATACTCAGAATTCACTGAAAATTATATTCACAGTTTAAGTAATTATAGAAAGAATTACAAAGTAGAACCAGCAGAAGGAAGAAATGCATGAAGCAGTCTATGAGGACTCCAAATATCCTACACTGATGTGGAATCATTGTTTCTACGTGTTGCCAACCAGAGAAGTCTCTAGTATCCAAAAATTTTTTATTTGTGCTTGATCCTTTTGGATGACCTTTTGTCTCTGTCACTTTCTAGGGGTTTATAGTAAGACCCTAACATCCTTATAAAAAACAAAAGAGGACTCTAATATCTAATTGCTGTACAGGTCAGAAGTGTTGGAGCATGTCCCGTGTCTCTCTCTCTCTTTTTTTTTCTTTTGCAGAACCAGGGATTGAACTCAGGCCCTTGCACTTTCCAGGGAAGCACTTACTCTACTGAGCCATCTCCCCGCCCTCCTCCCCCCAGTCTCTTTTTATTAGTCACTTTGTTGAGTGTCCACTGGCCAAAGCTGACAAGCAGACTTATAACAGGCACATCCTGGTAGAACAGCTCCTAGTAGTTGAGGACAGAGATCGGACCTTGGTTTGTTTATGGTTAGTTCCTGACAACACACATTTCTTCACTTAGAGGTTTCAGTAACTTAGGTTCTAAAGGTGTGCTTTGAATTCAATATACCTGTTTCTGGATGCCAACAGATGGTGATTTTTTTTTTATGGTGGTGTTGTGTTTAATTTGAATACATTCAAGTTCATCAAAAGAGTAACACAAAACTATCTGTAAGGATAGAATTGAACAAATCAATCTTTATGAAATTTGCTACCAAACTTGACTCTTCTTTGGATTTTACAAGTTTCAGAGTTTGAGGTTTCTAAAATTAGAATCCAGGGGCCGGGGAGATGGCTTAGTAGAATAAGCATTTGCTTGGCAAGCACAAGAGCCTAGAGTTCAGTCCCCGGTTCCACCAAGAAATAAATAAATAAATAAATAAATAAATAAAAATAATAAAATCAGAATCCAATTTTTAGAAATACTACAAATGACCTAGTTCTAATTTTTAATAAGGCACCTTTTCACTAAGCCTATCTTGCAATTACAACAAAAGAGAAACCTCTTTTTTACATTTTTAATACTGTATTTTATGTGATAATTGTATTTAGTAATAGGAATGCAGCTAAATATTCTTAACATTTTGGTGTGGTCTGCAAAGTGTGTATTTATTTATTTATTTTTTATGGAAGGGTCTACAGGGTATTCAGGTTCTCACTACTAGATCGGACTTGTAATGATCCACCTATTTACAGTCTCCCAAGAACTGGGATTACAGGCATGTGCCACCACTCCCAGTTTCAGTTGCTGTCTCAGCACGCCCCAGGGGTAGGGCTAGCACGACATGCAAAGTGTAATTCAAGGTTATGGTTTTTCGTCTAAAGTGCACTTGAGGAAAATAAGACTTCTAACAGTAATGCTGGCTCTGAATAACAGTGAGCCTAGCCAAGGAAATAGCTCAGTGGCGTAAGTCCCTGCCTGGCAAGCACAAGGTCCTGAATTCTATTCCTGATACCACCAAAAAAAAGGGGGGGGGAGTCTAAAGTTCTCCATATTCTCTCTTCCTGGCTTAAAAATCAATATTTCCACTGATCTTTTTTATATTAAACTTACCAGATGAGAAAATTGAAGCTGTAAAATAGAAAAAAATGAAGTATCACATATCGATACAAATTGTAACATTTATTTTACCTAACCAGTTAAAATTGATTGCTATTTATGTCAGAACATACAGAGGCAGCAAAAGGGATATTAATTCTGTTTACACTCATGTTAAATTTTAAAACAAAATCTTAAGTTCATTAGTAAATGGTCTTGAATATTTATGCTAATTCCTCAGTTATTTTAATATGTCACAGATTATTAAAGTCATTTACATCACTCACTATTGTTGTATAACCTGGTTACTGTTATAAAACTCAAGTAATTTTTGTCAGGTAGGAAGTTGTTTCCAAACACACATACTGAAATTTGATGATTGCTATGCTAGCAGTATATTTAAAGTATTTTTGAGAGACCTAAACAAAGTGAATCTGTAGTAGTAAGAGGAAAAATAATAACAGTTAAAAGTTTTAGGACTTAATTTATGTTAAACATTTTACTTGTCTCATTCCTCATATAGTCCTGGTACATTATATCATTACCTCTGTTTTATGGATAAAAAGATACTGGTGTAGAGAGGTGAAACAGCTTGTCCATGACATAGAATTTTCAAACTGTAAAGCTATGTATTAAAGAAGTGTACACAAAAATTTTATACAGAACTTCTGAGGTGTCTTAATGGAAGAAAGAGATTTAGGATAAAGATAAAGGCTTCATTTTGAGATGTGATAGATCATGTCTTGTGTAGGGAACTGGAGTAACCATGGATCCCAGGATTCATGGAAGGGAGTCAACTGGGTGCAGTGATAAATATGAAATGTACTATTGAAGCTCAAGTGTAGAGATTGAGAGAATGCCAGGTGGGGGAGTTTAGATCTTACTGTTGGCAGTAAAAGAACAATAATAATACTTTAAAGGGAGAACAGAACTTACTTTCTGTTTTAGAAAGATAAGTAATATTAGTGTAACTGAAGGGCCAGAATGAGACTAGTGGTAGGAAAACCCATTAGATAGCTGTTGAGAAAATTTAGAAGAATGAAAGTGGTATTGCAGATTGCAAATCAATGTGAATATGAAGATTTTTAAGGCGGGATGGATAGAGCTTAGTAACAATGATATGTTGAAGGTAAATTTATTAAGTAGATGGGTGAATGTAGGAAAAAATATGGTGGGAAACTGAATAGATTTGACTTTTTATGTTGAGACAGTAAACAGTTCAATGTGTGGGATGTTCAGATAGATATATCTAGTAAACAATTGGAAACTGGACATGTAGTTTGTTTATACTTTTTCTCTGTATTTTAATAGTCAATTAAATGAAAAGCCCTTACCTGAAGGCTGGGAAATGAGATTCACAGTGGATGGAATTCCATATTTTGTGGACCACAATAGAAGAACAACAACCTATATAGATCCCCGCACAGGAAAATCTGCCCTGTAAGTTTTCTGAATATCATAGATTAAAAGTAAAGCTAATTTTTCAGCACAGAATGAGAATCTTCTTATTTTTTGAGTAGGTTTGCCAGTAGATCTTTAACTATTGAATCCTTTGTGCATTTTAAAAATCAAGGTTTTAGTTTTTTGTTTGCATTTTAGGAATTTTCTAAATACAGTTTTGTGTCACTTAATGATGAGTGTGTGTTCTGAGACATGCATCATTGTGCAACCATCACCACGTGTACTTACACAAACCTAGATGATTTAGCTTAATGCATACCTAAACTGTGTGGTATGCATACCCAGCCTAGATGATAGAGGCTACTGCTTCTGCAGGCACAGTTTGGAAAAAAAAAAAAATAGGGCCAGAGAGATAGCTCAGTGGCTAAAGTGCCTACCTGGCAAGCACAAGGTCCTGAGTTCAATCCCTACTATAGGGGTGGATGGGTATCACAAGATTAAAGCAAGCATAGGAGAAATCAAGAGACATGGTACCCAGGTCTATCACCATGCACTAAATTAAAGTCAAAATGGATTAAAGAACTCAACATCAAAACAGAAACACTATGGGCCGGTGAGATGGCTCAGTGGTCTAAAGCACCTACTTAGAACAAGTTTAGCAAAGCACAGGGACCGTGGTTCAATCCCCCAGCACCACGTGCCAGCCAGCCCCGCCCCCTGGTGGGCTGAGCTGACTACACACACACACACACACACACACACACACACACACATAAATTAAAAAAAAAAAAAACAAAACAGAAACACTAAATCTCCTAGAAGAAAAAGTAGAAGGATCTCTTGAAGACATAGGGGTAGGCAAAGAGTTCATGAACAGAAACCAAATTGCACAGGAAACACTTGAAAGAATTAACAACTGGAACCACCTCTCATTGAGAAGTTTTTTCACGTCAAAAGAAGTTATCAACAAAGTGAAAAGACAACCCACAAACTTAAAAAAAATCTTAACTAATAAGCACTCAGACAAAGGTCTGCTCTCTAGAATTTATAAAGAATTAAAGAACATTAGGTCCCCTAAATTTAAAGACCCAATCCAGAAATGGGTATCTGAGATGAACACACACTTCTCAGAGAACGAAATTAAAGAAGCAAATAAATTTATGAAAAAATGCTCCACATCACTAGCCATTCGTGAAATGCAAATTAAAACAACACTGAGATATCATCTCACCCCAGAAAGATTGGCTATCATAAAGAAATCAACCAACAACAAATGTTGGAGA